ATACTAATACTTAACAAAAAAAAATGTATTTTTATTTAGCCAAGGTGATATTAGAAAAAAAACCAATTGGTGATTTTGTAATTTTCTTTTTCTATTTTTTTTTGCCGTTTTTCTTTTCTTTTTTCTTTTTAATGCTCAACATTTTTTGTTGTTGTTATTGTTCGTTTTGTTCTACTATATATATATATATTTGTGAGTATCGCTCAAGTATTAAAACTAGTCGTGAACAAACCCAACTGCTTTAACAAGTGCATTAAAAAAAATACAAACAAAGAGAATGGCGTGATATATGGTTGTTTCGTTTTCTTTTCTTCAGTTTTTTTTTGTTTTTTATCTGAACAGATTATAATTTTTGTTTATATTTCGACATTGTGTGCGCGTGCAATAAATGAGAAAGAATACAATATATACATCTAACAAAAGAATACTAAATATCAAATGATTTACTAACATTCTACCGTTTTTATTGTATTTAACAAAAAAAATTTTTGCGAAAGAAGTTTAATATGTGTGAATTATGATTTCTTTTTTTATTCAAATATTAATAAAATTTTTCTATTTGTCTTTTTTGTATAATATTGAATATGCTTTGAATTTATTTATTTCAGGTTCAAGGACAGAGAGAGAAAAGAAAGAAAGAAAGAAAGAAGAATATCGTATATGGTGATAATAAGATTTTCTTTTTTTTACCCTCAAATTTTTTTTCGTATGTGTGGAAAATAAAATGAATGTTTTGCATTTATTTAGAACGATTTCATGAACTTGATAAACGTTGTCGAGATTTTGAAAATGCAAATAATGAATTAAAACAATTGAATATTCAACTTGAAAAAGATTTATTAAGTGTTGGTGGTGTTACTGAATTATTTCGACGAGGACCTGAAGTAGATTGTTTTTTTTCTTTTTATAAATTTCGATGTATTTCATTTGTTTTTTATTTAGGGACAAACAAGTGATAGTAATTCAAATGAAACTATAGTAATTGAAGATGTATTAAATCAATCATCTACATCTCCAGCATCATTTAAGGGTTCATTTTCACATGTTTCATTACGTGATACAACATCGGATGAAGCATAAACTGCTATTGTTATTAGTCAACGTGAACGATTTCGTATTCGTAATGTTGAATTAGAGAACGTAATTCAAATAAATCGATTTTTTTTTCTATAAGAAAAATCTTTTTTTTGTATTTAGGAAAATGT